CAATAAATATGTATTTAAATGGTCAAGTACATTAAAAAAAGATAAGCCGCTCTCTCGATTATGCTAAATAGATCAGAGAAAACTCGCCTCCCCTTTGAAATAACCATAGATTCATAGATGTAGGGTCGGAAGGGACCTTGCAGATCTTCTAGTCTGACCCCCTGCCCTGGGCAGGACAGAAAACTGGGCTCAAATAACCCCAGGTAGGTAAACATCAAGTCTCCTCTTAAAGACCCCCAAAGTAGGAGCCAGCACCACTTCCCTTGGAAGTTGGTTCCAGATCCTAGCCATCCTGACTGTGAAGTAGTGCCTTCTAATGTCTAGTCTAAACCTACTCTTTAACAACTTATGGCCATTATTCCTTGTCACAAGTGTTTCAAACCAGTCAGTGAGGTTTTATTTGAAAAATGGTCTGGTTTAACGGCAATTTGGATATGTTAGATCAAGGGTGGGCAATTATTTCAGCTGGAAGGCCACTTAATGAGTTTTGGTGAGTTGTTGAGGACCACAAGGGTAGTCTTGCCACTTCACAGGTGCCCCCGCCCCCTGGTCACCATCTTAGGACTGGAAATCCTGCCCCTGACCATTGCTAACAAAAGTCCCTCCCCCTTGCCTCCTAAAGTCCTTCTTGGGGGGTGGGAGGGGAGTTCCCATTTGGAACCAGAAGAAAAACAAAACAATTCACGCACTAAAAATCAAACATCTACTACAACATATTTTATTTTAAAAAAATATTTTTGTTCCCAGTGTACATGCATTTGCCTAGTGTATATAGAGGTGATTGCACAATAGCTTAAAATAAAAGTCCTACTCTTGTATATTGCGTGTGAGAGGGGATTTGGGGGGTAGTTGGGGGTGGGGGGCAGGGGAGCGTGTGATTGTGTGTGGGTGTCAGGTGTATGGGTGTGTGTGTGGGTATGGTGGGCTGTACCTGTGGGGGCCCCCCCGCATGCTTCCCCCTATGGTACACAGCCCTCATCACTGCTGGCAGCGGGCTCTCGGGGTGCTTATGGCCCAGGCAGGCAGAGCCCCTAGACAGTTCTGGGAGCTGAACATGGCAGCAGGAAGCAGAGCCAGGCCAACCCGGTTCCATAATGCAGGGCTCCCCATAGCTCATGTGCAGCCAGAGCCGTGTGCTGCGGAGGAGGGAAGGGGGGCAGAGAGGAGGAAAGCAGGGGTGGAGAGGAGCCCTATGTGATAGAGTCAGTGGCCTAGCCCCACTACCTGCCACCACGAGCAGCTCCCAGGACTCCACTGTGAAAGAGGGAATTTGGCGGCCAAGTCGGGCTCCCTGCCACTTCTGGCCAGGGTGGATTTGATTTAAATCAAATAGATATACATCATGATTTAAATCACCAATCAGGAAGCCTTAATTTAATCATTGTTTTCTACAAAAAGTGCATTCTTGTGGATAGGTTTTCCCTTTCAACCATACCATTCCCTCACTAGATCTCAAATCAGTGGAGAGGCTATACTCAGAAACCTATCCCCAAGACTTCTGGAATATTCTGCTCAAATATTTCTCTTTTGTTTCTACTGCCCCTTTCTCCTTGCATTTATCTCCAGACTCCTCCCCCTTGCCCAGAGCTACTCCATCCACAACAAGCCTCTATTCATTTAACTTCTTGAAACTTTGCACTTTTAGAGAGGTAAGGGCTCGACTCTGTGTACACAAACTTGCAGAGAGACAACAGGGGTTGATGGGTAGGTAATCAGGTCTGTTATCTCTCATCTTTATATACCACTGTTAGCAAGGATCTTATCCCTGGAGACACAAATTCACAGTTTGAGAACTGAAACTAAGCATCCCAGAGATGCTTCATGGGATCTTCTAAACCAGTGGTCTCCAACCTTCTTAAGTACGAGACCACTTTTTGAATTAACATTCAACCCAGGATCTACCACACACCACCCCCTGCCCCCACCCAGCAGGTCAGTCAGTGGGGAGGTAAGTGGGGTGCAGATTGAGGCAGAGGTAGAACAAATTATTGGGGGGGGAGGGAGGAGGCTGAGAGCAGTAGATCCTGGGTTGGACTTTAATTCAGAAAGGTAAGTCTGTGGGGAAAAGGGGTGGGTGGAGGGGAAATTGCCATCTGGGGGGTGGGGGCAGCAGATCAAGGCCCCAGCGGTGAGGAAGGGAGTGGGGCACAGGCAAAAGCAGGGGCTGGGGTGAGTGGGGCCCCATCCAGGCCAGGTGATGGGACAGGCGGAGGCCTGGGAGGCACGTGTCCCCCCACTGTTCTGTACAAGGAGCGGAGGCAGTTGCCACTGCATGCTTGGCTTTGAACCCTGCTGCCCTGAGAGCTGTGCGATGCCACATGCGCTACCGGGCAGACAGGGGGCATGGGGCTGCTGCAGCAAGGAGCAAAGCCCAGCGCGCAGTGGCAACCGCCTCCACCCCACATACAGATCAGGGGGCACATGCCCCTCGGGCCTCTGCTTGTCCCACCACCCAGCCCAGCCAGGGCCCCACTCACCCCAGCCCCTGCTCCTGCCTGTGCCCCACTCCCTCCCTCACCACTAGGGCCTCGATCTGCCCCCCCGCCCTTCACAGCAGTGAG